ACTAGAAGTGAAGGCACTTCCAGACTCTCCTTAGGCTGTTTAAAATTCCTCCCTTTGATCCTGGTGGCTTGAAGTTAAAACTGAGGTGTTCAGGACAAGCAAAGCACCAAAGCAACAAAACCTCCGAGGAGTTTTGCTGCTCTGCCTGCCTGGTCAGTCAGCGGCACTCGCAGTTTGAACAGATGGGAGCAGTGCAAGCCTCTTCATGAATCATTAGAGACTAAATTTCCTCCAGCACCAAAATAACCCGATCACATGGGAAGACTCCCAGCTGCCTTAATGCAGAGGTACTCGCTGCCTATCACAAAGTGGCCAGACTCTCACATTTTCTCAGGTGATGGTAAATGATGTTGTGCTGGCTACTTGGGTTTTGGAGCCTGTATTGCTACTCAAACAATGCCGCCTCTCATCCATTAGATAGGGCACACTGTGCTACAAAATCCTGTAGGACTCTGCCCACAGCTGAAATCCCAGCAGGTGTGTCTCCGGAGGCTGGCGCTGCTTCAACTGGCCTGAAGGAGCAGTTTTGCTGGAAGAAGCAGCCAGATTTCAAGAAGTGGTGAGCAGGACGGCCCTTGCCAGGCAGAGAGTGCTTGGAGGTGGCGAGGGGCTGGACCAGTATGGGGCTGGTGGCTGCTGCTGAAAATTCCTTGCACCCACCCACTGCCAAGGTGTTTTAATGGAAATTAAAAGCTTTGCAGAAGGGCAGCTTGAATCTCATGTGAGCGACAGCGCAATGACAGGCTAATTTTATGTTTCATTTTTAGCAGCATTATTCTGAAGTGTAGGATAATAGTTAACTGATTTAACCAGGTTCTTGTTTCAGGTAAGAAAGGCAGAACAAAGAGAAAGGTGTTGTTTTTTTTTTTTTAATTTATCATTACAGTCAAGAAGCAAAATTCATATTTTTAGCCAGATCCTATATATAAACTTTTAATTGTCAATGTGATTATAAGAATAACTCCTCTTAAGCACAATACATAGCACAACAAATGCAATTTTAGTGAGGTTTGTGTGGTAACACATCATTTTACTTTTAAATCCCGTGCAAATTCAGTCATCCTCAGAAGGGTTGAACACACTGGCATGTGGTCCTAGGGATGCCAAAAATGTGTAGAGGGGTCCCCGAAGCGGGCAGGAGTGCAGGGAGGTGGCTCCTGCAGCTTTCCTCTGTGTGGAGGGGAGCTGAGCTTTGTGTCACCTCCAGCCACCCCAGGGTGCAGAAGGCAGGCCTCCGCAGTCCCTGCGGCCCCTCCTCAGCTGCGAAAGCCCCAGAGAGCTCTCAGGGTGCGAAGATGTCCTGTCACCCCACATCTATGCCCTGTCGGGGTCCTGCTCAGCTCCTGACACAGGCCTGACTCCTGTAATTCCTCCCAGCGGGGCCATTCCTCTTGGGCATGAGGTGCCAGTGCGGCCCTCAGCCCTGGCAGGAGCTGGGCCCTGTCACTCCTTGGTCACCTCAGGGGTGCCGACAGCTCTCCCAACAGCATATTAAACCTCTGAAAATCTGTGGTGGTGATGTTGCTCACCTGTTCTGCTTTCCTTCCCTCTCCTCCACGGGTCTGGTGTCCCTCCCTACAGATAACGGTGGGTTTAGGATGCTGTTCAATGACATTTGCTCTTTCACACCGCCAAGATCTTTATCAGTGTGCCAGCGAGCGATGATTATTATCCTGACAACCACTTTTTGTCCTTGCTGACCGCCTTGCCCCGAGTGCTAACCCAAAGCAGGCCTTTATTAGCCACATGAGCACACCAGCGCTGTGTGGGCTGCGCTGGGCAGGAGCGTCACCTGCTGCATCACAAGGGCAGGGGGATCTGATACGGATACAGGAGCCTGGGTGACCTCCACAGGCAGGCCTGCCGGGGCGAGGAGCACACTCCAGTGAGCTCCGTAGTGGTGGCACCGTGATGGTTGGGTGATCAGCAGCGAGAGCAGCATCCCTCCCTCCGCTGATCCCCCGTAATCCTGCCGCTGGCCTCCTGCAGCAATCTGCTGCCGGCCCGCCAGGCACAGCGTCCCCGCGCTGCCCTGGGCCTGCTTAACCAGCATTACATAAATTCCTTACCCGCTAATGACGCCTCTGTTAGGTAAGCAAATGGGATGGCATCAGCCCCCCGCAGCACCCCGGCTGCTCGGGGCGGGAGGGAAGGGGTGAGCGGGTGTCCGGGGGGGTGCGCAGGGTGCTGGGCCCTCTCCTTCCAGGAAGGGAGATGGGAATGGGGACAGCCCTGGTGGGATGGGGCCATGGAGGCCCCTGCTCACAGCAGGGCCAGCAGTGAGGCTGCGTTGTGTCTTGGATGCTCCCGAGGATGGAGACTGCACAGCATCTCTGAATACCCTGCCCCACTCCTCACCTGTCCTCACCTGGAAAAGTTGTTTCCCTACACCCAGCCTGACTTCTTTTTCCAACTTGAAGCAACGCTGCCAATTACAAAGCTGGTTTAAAATACCCCCGTACACAAAAATATCACGTAGAGGCATTCAAATCCATCCACATCTCTACCCACATCTTTGTTCATCACAGCCCAAGCTTTCTCCAGCCTTTAATAAGCTCGTTATACAATATTTGTTGTACGCAGCATCATGTAATTTATCTGTGGGAGTGCAGGAATTCGTTCCTCTCTTCCACACCTCAAGCAAGCAGGCCCATACACCTGAATGCAGCTGGAATGACCTGCGTAGCCTGCGTTTTGCCCAGGTGCTGTGTTTCTCCCCTCATGCTACAGAAACCCAGCTGCTGACAGAGGTGTCACCTGCTGCCAGAAGCCACCCCAAATCTCCAGAGAGCTCAGGGCCAGGTGCTGGCCTTGAGCACGGATGGGCTGTGCTCTGGCAGGCAGATGCTCAGCCCCCTCAGTGCCACTGCAGCTCTGCAGGGCTATGCACACTGGTGCCCGATTTCACACCTCCTGAAGGGGAGGTAAGCGGGTACAAATACACCCATATTTTCCCTGAGAGCTGTGTTTCCACCACATCTGTTAAGGAGGTGAGGCTGAGGGACAGCGTAGGAGCTCCCTGTGATGTGGTTTGGTGGCACCACGCACAGCCAGGGCCGTGTCACCTTGCGTATCTGGGCCCAAATATCTCCAGAAAAAGATCATGTGAGAGGGGCCCTTGCCCCACCTCGGCTCTGGTCAGTACCGGAGTGGTTTCACAACAGGTGTGTGGTGAGAGCAAATCCCTCCACCTGCACTGAGACCGCTACGCCCAACCCCAAAGCCAAGGAGTGAATCCAAACTCCCCTCATTGCCCACCCCTGCACGCAGCGAGCTTTCAGAGCTGTCAGATCTAAAATAAAATCGCAAGTGGGATACTTTAACTTCTCTTCACATTTTCAGCCCCTTGGGTGCATTCCAGGTACGTTGGGGAGCTTCCTTCTAGACAGACGAGTGCTGGAACTTATTTTTCCCAATTTTTCCGCTCCCTGCTCGCCCCGGCCCCGCACCCGGGCCCTCGCTGCCTGCGGGGCCGCAGTGACACCGCGCGGCCGCCGCCCGCACCCGCACCCAAACCCGCACCCAAACCCGTGGCTTTTCCCGAAGGACATCCTCCCTGGGCACCCTACGCGCTGGATTTTTCCTAATTTTGAGCACTCCGTCTCTCCGCTGGGAGACAGGGAGGTGGAGAAGTCTCCTCTCTGCCTCCAGGTCGAGTCAAGCTGGTCACACCAGCCCTACAGAGCAGACACCCCAGCACTTCCCAAATTGCTGATTCGCAGCCACAGATCCCCACGGGTGGCCGGGCTGCCCCACAGGAGGGATGCTTTGGGGCCGCCAGCATCCCCGATGAGCACGCGGGAGGTTGCAGGCTCATGGGGATGCGCCACAGGACACAAATGTCAGCTGAGATCGGGAGCTCAGGGTTTTCCCCAGAGTGATCAGGTTATAAAGGTTGTGGAGAGAGGACCAAAAATGGCCCCGTCTGCTCATGCACCACTCAGGGAAGGCCTGGGGACCCTGGCCCATGCAGAGGGGGGACAGCCCTCCCTGCAGTTACTGCAGCTGTGCCAGCAGCCCCTGTCAGAGCACCGAGACCAACAGGGCTGCACACCCCTGTGCCTCAGCCCCCTTGGTGTGGTCACCCCAAGCCTGGAGGTTGGTCACCATCACATGTCCAGAGCAAAACCTCAAGACAACATCCCTTCCTTCTGCCTGCTCTTTGAAAGTTAATATTTTCTCCCTAACTCTCTGCAGGGACCTCAGATGCTCATCCTCAGTTCCCCTCAGCCTCATGGCTTGGATACATGCAGAACACGCCCGCACCTGGCATCGTGCAGGTGCCCACCTGGGTGCTGGAGAGGAGACAGCTGCAGGAGGGGCTGTTCCCTGAGCATCACCAAGATCAGAGGGAGCTGGGCCTCTCAGCTGCTGAGCAAACAGCAGTTGCATAAATTGAAACTGCCTCGGGCTCGCTGGAGTAAACTCGCACGCCCAGTGCGTCCTGGAGTTCAGGTGCTTTAGAGAAGAAAAGCGTGGAAATCTCCTTGTCTGCTAGGGCCAGTTCTCTGCTCCACCTTGCTCGTCCCTGCCCTGGCAGGCTGTCATCACTCCCTGCCTCTCGCGCCGTCCTCCCCGGGCAGGTTTCCAGGCTCCAGCTGGAGAACACCGACTTGATTAGATTTGATTCACAAAGGCATTTCACAACACTTGTTCACCTAAACAAAATAAAAGTCCTGGATCTAAGCATCACAATTAAGGGCAGGGTAGATCCTTTTGAAGCAAACTGCTGGTAAGTCACCAAATTTTAAATAGCATGGTTTCCTGCCAGAGTCCCCCGCTGAGGAAAAAGTTCATAGCAGTTCAGCTGCTCAACCCACGACTTCCTGAAATAGCAGGTGACATCTTTTTGGCTTTTGTATCCCTTAAACATAAAGGCTCCTGTTCCAATTTGATTGAACTGAGTACTCGTCAGGTATGCAGGAGGCTTTTGCCACCTCCTCAGGCTTCAGACAAACACAGCAATATGATACAGAGGATGCCACCGAGGATGAGGAGGACTTTGCGTCTCCAACTACTTTGCATCTGCTTCTCTTTGTTTGGACTCCCAGCTAAAAAGCCAGCAAAACTGTGCAGTGGTGAAGAGTGGGGCGTGCTGTTTGCAGGCCACTGGCTGTCCTGGTGGAGGGGTCGCCTCTCCCACCACAGAGGCTCAGCCTCGAGTCCCTCCTGCAGCACCCATGGGTGCCAAGGCAAGGCCAGCGTTGGCTCCAGCACTTCTGGCAGCTCCACGCCGAAAGGAAATGGCTAAGGGGACATGTTCAGTTTCCTCTCACTGTGCCCACATGAACCATTCCCAGAAATAATCTCACACACAGCACAGCGGCTGCCAGGTAGGCCCAGTGCCCCACACTGCAATGCCAGGCCTGAGGATGTGGCAGAATGAGGCACTTTGACCAGAACGTTAACTGGAAATATAAGCAAAGCTGAGACCACTGCACATAGCGTTTCCATGAATCAGCTTCTTCCAGAGGGAAAGCTGTGCCACGTGCAATAGGTTAGCCCCTTACACACACCGAGCCCTTCCCCAGAGACCCTGCAGGTCAGGGCTGAGACAAGCTGAAGCAGGCAGCTGAAATAAACCCCAGGTTTGGAGGTGTCCTGTGAAGAGGCAGAGCAGAAATTGAATTTGCCACAGGGCTGACTGATGCCGGAGGGGCAGAGTTTGTCGGCAAATTTCAAAATGAGACTTAAAAGAAGAAGTGCTGGTTCTTACAGACTAAGCAGCCTTGCTAGGCTGAAAAAAAAATGATGAAATAGCCCTTTGCGTGTTCCTGCCTTCCCCTTTATGCATATGTCATAAATAATTAACTGGCTCTTTGTCTTCAGCCCTTGATGAACCCGGGGTGTAATAACAGGAGTAGACGATGGTATCTCGGCTGTCCTCCCTTCAGACAATACCGGGCTCTCGCATGCAATCCTGTGGCGGCACCGAGCATCTTCTCCTTATCCTCCCGATCAGGTTCCCGTCCTGTCCCCCCGCTGTGCCCGTAGCCGCCCTCCAGAGCCACCTCCAGCAGGCACAAAGGCTAATGACGGGGTGGGCGGCCTCCAGCAGCAGCCACCAGGCCTGGGCAGCAGCGGTGAGCAAGCAACGCCGCCAGCCAGCCTCCCCCTGACTGGATTTTGGTGTGTTCGTGGCCGTGAGTCAGACGGGAGCACCCAGCAGCTTGTGTGACACGTGTAGGAGCCGGGCCGGCAGAGCAGCACCTGGCAGGGCAGCCAAAAACACCTCTCCTGCGGCTGCGCCCTGAGCCACCTGAGAGAGACCGAGCAGGGTGTCAGGCCCGTGGCGGCCGTCCCGGCTGGAGATGCCAACCCTGCATCTCCCTGGGCATCACGAGCCTGTTTTGGGGAGAGAAAAGCGGCTCCATGGACTTTCGTTGGAGAAAGCTGTGGCTCAGGGGCCTGCAGCGGGTTGGTGTCCCCTGACTGCAGACGTGTGTCCCAGCTCCATATGGGGCCGGGCCCCAGCCTCTGTCCTTAGGGACGTTACACCTGTGAGAGGCCTGGTGGTGATCTCCACGTGTCCCAGCAGTGGTGGTGCCCCACCAGGAGCCCGAGAGCTGCCAAAGCTGCCCAAACATGAGGCAGGAGACATGGGGCTAAGCCCAACCCACCACCACCACGGGCAAGCACAGCCCTGCCGAGAACAACAGGGAACGGGCGACACCACAGCAACCCTCTGGGGGATTGTCTGAGCCCCCATGAGCAGCAGCTTCCTTCTGGAGGACGAGGGCATCTAGTCCATCAAGTCCTTCCTTCTGACACGCCCATTTGCTCTGGCTATGCACAGCACCAACGCGTGTGTGATTTTGCAGGGCTGCCCCGAGTCCCTGAGGACACGCGGAGCGCTCACCTGTGCAGGCGAGTTGACGGGAGATCCCGGGGCTGATTAAAAACTGCAGCACACGGGAAGACCTGACGGGCTGCCCGAGCAGCTGGAGGTGAAGCGGCAGGGAACAGGTATCTCCGGTCCACGTCTCCCTCTCTCTCACACCCCTCGGCCTTCCCCTGCCACGCTTTCCTCCCCCTGCCACCGCTCCCGTCCGCGCCAGGCGGGCGTCCGTCCCTCCGCGTGCTCCCAGCGCCAGCCGGGCTCCTCCTGAGCCCTGGGGTGGCTGCAGGCACCCATCTCCCAGCCCTGCTGGCTGCAGGCGTGCCGAGAATTGTGTCACCTCCACAGAGAGACGTGTAGCTGGCAATGTCTGATTCAGGTCGCTGTTAATTACTCGGGCAGAGGTGTTCATGCTTTCTGCCTCAGAGCGCCAAGGACCACTGGAGAGGCGGGATGCGCCCCGTGGGGATTGCTGCTGCTCACCCCAGTGTGGGTGCTTTTGTTTGTTCCTGCCTTTCCTCTTGAGAAAGAGGTACAACTCCTACCAGCCCCGAGCACCCCCAGTCGGGTATTCACTGCTCCCTCATCAACGTCCTAATGAAAACCCCAAAAGCCAGCAGATCTGTGACACCGAGCTGTGCGTTGCTGCTCTTGGAGTGTGGGTTTTCTCCCCGTTGTGCGGCTGCCTGATGGCAAATTCATCCAGGAGCTGAGGGAAAGCCGTGATGTGAGCTGTGCACTGAGCAAGGAAGAGGCAGGATGCCAGCTCTGCCCCTCTGTCCATGCAGAGCAGCTCCATGCAAGACAAAGCAAGGAAGAGCGGGCCAAGGAGCACTGATGGACATGAAAGGCAAATGCTGCTAAATACCGGGGGGAAAACACGGTGTCGATGTTTTCCAGTTGGCACCTTAGCATTGTGTTGCATCCCTCAGCACTGGTATTTGCAGCGGCAGGAGGTCCAAGCCAAGCCTCTCAACAAAAATAGGGTCACTAGGACAAAGCACTTACTATCACCAAATCTGACCCCATGACAGCGCAGCAGAAGGCCCTGAACTCAAAGGTAACAAGGGATGAAGTGCTGGAGGCCGCAGCGTGCATTTCTCACGAGCTGCCCCACTGACCCCACTGCCCTACAATTCCCGCTCCACCTGGCTCTCCTCTTTCTCCTCCACCCCAGTGCGAGGCTCCCACAGCCTGACAGCCGCACGTGGGGCTGGAAAAGCTGGAGTCAGCTCTGGAAGTGAAATATTCCTGGTTGAGAGATGGTCAGCAGCAATTCAGACCGATATGGGATTTGGCATTTCAGCTGCAGAAGCCACACTAAGGCAGTGTGCTCCCATCCCATCACTCACGTATCTGTTTTCAGACCTTTTTTCCTTAAAGGAAAACAGAAGTTATTTTTTTCCTCAGGTTTTCCTTAAAAAAAAAAAAAAAAAAAAAAAAAAGCATCTTAGTGTTACTTGTGACAGAAGTAACCATTTGGGACCTTGTAAAGAAACCCACAGGTTGGAGTCAAAGAGAAAGGAAAATCCTTTGGGCACCTCATTGCACCTCAAAGCTGTCCCAGACCTCTGAGCTGGACTCTCGCCGGCTGTTTTTCTGGGGCAGGTGGTGCCACAGGTGCGCCGAGAGCTGGAAAACGGAGGTTCAGGGCAGGACAGCTCACCCGTGATAAATCCTGATGTCATTCATCTTTGCACAAGACCAGGAAGTTTTTCTTTCTCGACTGTCCCAAGGTCTTCAGGAGGAAATGGTTGCGCACACCGCCTCTGAGTCTGTCACGGATAATTACACCTGTCTCTCCTCTCAGCTAATCTCCTGCTCCTCCTCAGCTCGGCGGGACCCACGGCTTTCCACACCCCCTCGCCTCCATCGCCAGGAGCACCCAAAGCCCTGCAGGGGCAGGAGAGGTGAGCGTGGGGCCGGGGCCCCATCCTGCCTGCCAGCACCGCCGGCGCCCAGTGGGAGACGCCTGGCGCCCGGCCCGGCCCAGGGCAGCTTTTGGGAAGCCCCAGCCCGCACACGCGCCTGAGCGCCGGCTGGGTGAAGCTGCCAGGTGCCTCGGGGAAGTGAGGAGGCATTTCTCCAGCACCGCCAGCCCCGTGTGTTTCCCTCCTCATCCAGCTCCTGCCTTCCTCTCTGGCTGGCAGCGCTCATCTCGCACCGTAGCGGAGCGTCGCCAGCATGTAAGAAAAGCAAACAGCAATGTTTTCCCACCTGCCAACGGAAAGCAGCCCAGACTCAAACAGAACTGGTGTTTTGCATCCCACTTACTCAAACATAAAATCCCATTTTCCCTCCCATATGAAAGCAGGAAAGCTACGGACAAAGGGTTTCTCGCTTCAGGAAGAGGAAATACCAAAGAGAGTTCTCCAAAGACAACCTGCAGGCTGAACTTTGTAATTAAAAAATTAGGGCATGAGCAGGAATCGATACGCCCTAACAAACACCTCAGCTGTGACCGCGTCTGGGTGCTCCAGCCAGGCGATGCCTGGCTTGGGCACCCTGCCACTTCTGCAGACGCGTGTGGGTGAGCACAACGGGCGGCACAGCGAGCTGGGCAGTGAGGGCAGGGCCATGCACCTGCCCTGAAAGCACCCAGGACAAGGAGGTGCTGCAAGGAGTGACCCAGCCGGAGGCACGCTGGGGTGGGTGCAGAGCACACAAAGCTCTGCCCACCACCGAGGGTGCCACCAGCACAGCAGGAGTGCTCAGGGAAAATCGTTCAGCTGTCCAAGCACACCCAGACACACAAAACCCCGTGAAGATGCCAGCAGAGGAGAGACAGGCTTGCAGCCATGAACACAAAGATGCTGGCTCTGTCAGCCTCTTGTTAGGGCGTTGTGCTGCTGCCCGTGAAAACCCTGCTCCCAGCTGTGCTGCAGGACACAGAACCTGCCCGAAGTGGTGTTCCTCAAGCAGTGTGCTGACCTGTCTCTTGGCATGGGGAGGGGCTGAGCCCCCAAGGGTAGGTTTAGATTAGACATTAGGAAGAAATTCTTCCCTCAGAGGGTGGTGAGGCCCTGGCACAGGCTGCCCAGAGAAGCTGTGGGTGCCCCATCCCTGGAGGTGCTCAAGGCCAGGCTGGATGGGGCTTTGGGCAGCCTGGGCTGGTGGGAGGTGTCCCTGCACATGGCAGGGGGCTGGAGCTGGGTGGGCTTTGGGGTCCCTTCCAGCCCAAACCATTCTGTGATTCCTGTACATCTAAGCAGGGTGTTTCTGCAGTTTTCATGGGGTCAGAGTCACCCACACCCACCCACTCCCACATCCCTGTGCCTGTCCCACCTGGGGACGGTCACACTGGGCCTGGCAGGGCTTTTCGCCAGTGCCCTGCCTCCTCAAACAGTGCTGATAGCAGAGAAACAAGGCACCTCCTGCTTTCTATCCCCCATACAGGTTTTGGAGGAACTGGTGCAGCAGAAGACACGAGGCATTTCTCTGGCCTCCAGGAGCTGCTCCTTGGAGAGCACATCATCGCTTAAAAGCCGGGAATATTTATTGGTGGCGAGCAAATATCGATTGCCTGGCCACAGTCATCGACACGTGGTTTTTGGCACCTCCTGAGCAATTTGTCCCCCCCCGGCCGTGGGACACAACACACGGCCCTGGCCCCAAACCCACACAGGCAGACCCAGGCACAGAACAGCGCTCGCTGAGGGCTGCCCAACAGGGAAGCTGCTCCCCCAGAAAACAGCTGAGTGCCCGCTGTGCGGCTTGGAAAAGATGAATTTCCCCGCTAGCAGTGGCTGCTCGGGCACTTCCACCAGGTGCATGTGGCAGCCGCGGTTTCGTTTGCCCAGAGTGCATTTTACAGCACGAGGGCAATTCCTCAATTAATCGCCAATTAACCGGCAGCGTGCGGCCGGCTCCTGGCAGCTCTCCCCCAACCTGTGCCGGCATCAAACCGTGAGCAAGGCCCTGGGCAGCTGCAATCCCACCACCCTGCAAGCAGCCCCTCGGCAGGAGGGGCAGGGAGGTGAACCAGCACCACCAGGCTTTCTGCAGCCAGCCTTTGGAGGCAGGTAGGTGCTCCTTGAGGTCTTGATTAACCTCATTTTTGCCCGGCTTTCAAGGGAAGAGCGCGTGGCGTGCCACCTGTACGGCAAAGAGAAGCGATGTTGCTTAACCCAGCTGTTCAGTCCCATTGAACAATTTGGTGTGTTTTCAGCAAGCTGTAGACTTATTTGGGCTTTGCAGAAGAAAACCGTCACGTTTTGCCAGCCCAGCCTCACTGATTGTCCCTTCCCAGAAGCTTTAGATAATTATTTGGTCTGATGTTTATCATTTAAAGAGTAATTCATGTGCTAATATGCATAATCCCGCAGCACAGTTTAATTGCAAGATTTTAGCACTACCGTTGAGCTGCATTGTTGGGATTCACTTCTCTCCTCCTCAGATGGGCTCTAATTAGCGCAGTGCCAGGAACTGATTTTCCTGCCTGTTCACAGCACGGAAAGTCTTCGGCAAAAGCTACCAGGGGCAAAATGCTTTGTTCCTCTCCAAACGCTGAGAGAATTTGAACTTGGAATTCACTGATGGAAGGGAAAATTGGCAAAATGAAAAGCGGTTCGGAGGCAGGTTTTCAGGAAATATTTATGAAAGTTAAAGTATTTTTACACACACACACACACACACACACACACACACACACACACAGCCCTCCCAGAGTCATCGCTTCAGTGAAGGCACCACAAGCTGGCGACATGTTTGCACTGGGAATTTCCAAATTTGGGGGAGGATGCAGATTCCCTTTCTTGCTCTTGCTTTAATGACACTAAATGAGCAGAAGTTGAAAGCACGCAAAGCAAAGCGGCTGCTTATTCACGGCCTGAGACAGGGCTTTGTACGCCCCAGATCACGGCTGTGCTTTCCAGTCATGCCACAGAAGATGCAATCTCCCTAAAAACCCGGCCTTACTTGTTTGTAAGTTGTAGGGTTTTTTTTCCCAAGCAGTAACACGGCCAGGACAATCCCCACCAGCAGATGACGGGCGTGTGGAGGAGCCTACCTACACCACAGCTCTCCCTTGCACCTCACATGGCAGGGGGCCATCCGTCCACCACCTGACACACAAAAGCAAAAAATAACGAAGTCAGAAACATTATCGCCACCCAGTCATTTCGGATGAGCTGAGACCGAACCCAAACCAGGAGCATTTTCAGCGTGGCAGACATTTTCCCTCGCTTCCAGAAAAGAAAAATATGAGTCAACAGGCTAAAGAAATCACAGAGACAGGTGGTGGGACATGCTGTGTGGGGTTCAGTATTTGTGCAGTTGCTGTGCTCCTCACACGGGCCTGTTTTAAAATGAACCAAAATACCGTTGGCTGCTCGCGGTTCGTGCACACTCATTGCCTTCAAGACAGTAGAAATCTGTAGCTTTGCCCCCGTGATTTTTATTCGTTTTGAGACAGTTATGAGAGCTTCTTTGGATTCGTAATAATCAAAGGTTAACGGGAGCTCGTTTCCAGCTGCCTAATGAGAAGTCATGCGAAGTGGGAAAGGAAAACAACTAAACAGCAAACATGTAAACCCTCCCTCTGCACCTCAACCTGCCTCCTGCTAACGAAGGAAGCCGTATAATTCTCTTATTGCAGGGCACAGCGTTTTCTGGCTGTCTTTCTGCGTGGATGTATGGGTTTGGTTAACAGAAGGTGTATCACTTATATCACTTGGCTAGCGAAGTGCCACTTTGGGCAGGGTGTTCTCCTTCGGAACCAGTCTGTCAGCACTAAGGTGTTCAAAACCCAGGATGATCGGATTTCGGTAAAACCCCAAGCACACTTTCACACAGACACACAAAAAGAAGAAATGCCTGTGCTCCAGAAATGCATCCATCATGCTCTCCACTCCTCTCTACCACATTTTCACCGCCTGGACAAACCATCAGTGGGACTGACCTGGTATTTCTGGGGTAAAGTGATCAGCACACAGTCAGCACCACGGCAGGTCACTTTTGCAGGATGTAAAACAGAAGCAAAAAGGCCACTTAGGAGCAGCTACGCAGTTACCTTCATAATGCTGCAGTGGTTTCTTCTCTGTAAAACTAAGGAAAACATTTTCCCAGCCTGTTTTGTTGCTCTGGTCCTGGTCTCACAACGTGCTCCGCAGCCACTCGGAGCTCTGCACGCTGCTGAAGCGCTTGTTAGTGGCGAGTGACCTGCAGCCGAGGTTGTGGATTCCTATGTTTTGTGAACTACTTGGATTAGGAACAAGGATACAGAATTTGTGAATCATTTTCTGGTTGATTATGAAACGCCGTATCAGGAGAACTAATTATTTAATTTGAAAACATTCTTAGTAATATATAAAAATATTTGCATTCGAACTTTAAAAGCTTGGAAGCATTTCTGTCAGCTAGAGAAACTTCCAAGCCTTCTTCATCGTTGAAGTAAGATCTATTAAAATTTAGCTGGTTTCGGGGTTGCAGATGCACTGCACTGAGTTAACCTCAGATTTGTAATTGAAGGTTTAGAGATAAAGGGGAAGGGAGAGATGGCAGCAGTCCACCCTTGTTTATCTTGTGTAAGCAATTTTTGTCCCAGCCCCGACCAACAGGCTTCTGTCTCCAAACCGCTGTTTCGAAAGGGGAACTTCGCATTGCATAAGGAGTCTCTGCGTTTTACTTTACCTTCAGTTATGTGGAGAAATACTGCTTTGTCAGGATTTAAGTGCTGCCAACAAGAAGACCTCAGTATGAAGACATCGCTTTGGCCAGACTGCCGTCTCTCCACGGAGGCTGCTTCCCAGGCAGCGAGGTGTGACACCGAGCTTCTGCCGCCTGATTTTCGGCACCGTTTGTACCGCAGGGTGCCGAGGGTGGTGCTCGCACTCTCCTCCCCTGATGCAGCAGCTGAGGCAATGCTGGCTGCCTGCTCGGCCTCACAGTTCAAGGTCTTGGTTTCACCTGTGATCAGTTTAAGGACTTTTCCCCTATCGTTCACGATCTTTGGTTTCTGCAGACAGCACCTGTAGGTCTCACAGTGAGAAGCTAGAGGGGAAGAGCAGAGAACATCGCTTCTTCACCAAAACAGCTGCAGGGAAAAACAAAACCAAACGAAACAAACAAAGATAGCTGGGCCAAAAGGAAAATCCACACACACCGAGTTGCTCGTTTTTCTCCACCGATGCCACAGTTTCCTGTGCTCCCCCTAACCACAGCCACCACCCCAGTGAAGCGTTCTGCCTCCATTCCTAAAAAAGGCTCAGACCCCCAGTCCCTCTGCCCTTCTCTTTCTGGGTGCTGCTGGTTTTGCTAACACCATCCCAGCAGAAGCCGGCCATCGGGAGCACCAGAGACGGGTTCTCGCTGCGCTCCTGCAAGCAGAACAGCCGGTGCATGAGCCTTGGGCTTCGTTATCCCCCCAGGATGTTATTTTGACATTACCTGGCATCCGTGGATGCTTTTGGACAGGGCGTCCAAGGACAACGGCGTTCAGCCCTGGGTTCGATGGGACATTTTCAGCTCGAGCTGCTGACCGGGGTCTAAAGCCCTCTGGCTAGCCTCACGCATCCTTATCAGGTGTTTGAGTGGCACAGCTAAACCCCTCCGAATACATCAAGGAAAAGCCAAACCCGTGAGTCTTCAGCAAATGCTGTCGAGGTTTCCAGCAGGGTGCCTGCCTTCGGGGCACCGCCAGCACCGCCCCACGCAGCGGTCCCGACGCAGGGGCTCTGCCCACGGAGTTTGCCTCAATGTTTGCTTCTGCTGCTTTCCTGGTGCTTGGGAAAAGAAAACTGGGACGTCGTGGTGCCGGGTGGCATTCCACCCCCGGGCTGCAGCATATGGAGCAGACACCTCCTTTTTCGTGACAGCTTGCCAGCTAACTCGCCTAGGTCTCTGCCGCGCGCTCACCGTGTGCGGGGAGGTTTTCAGGGAAACGAAACCCACGGCTACTGAGGCTGGCTAATAGTGCTGGTGGTAGTTAAACACAGTCCTTTATTTTTTTTAACAGTGCGAGAGGAAGAGCTAATTCCCTCCATCTGCAGTGGGCTGAGGAGGAGGCCTGGAGCATCCCAGGACCCCGGTGCCGGGCTGTGCCTCCAGTCGGTGCTGGCTAACACCAAAATCTCAAGGCTCTAAGCCCCACGTGCAGCATTTCTCCTCAGGCCCTAAGGAATTCACCCGGCAGCTCCGGCGGGGCAGAGGGAGCCGAAGGGGCCGGCAACACAAGCACAAACGCAGGAAACCCAGCAGGTTGCACGTCCTGTCCCACGGCATCGCCGCGGCTATTCTGGGCTGGCGTGAGGAAAGCTGTGGGGGGCCTACAGCACGGCGGCCAGAAACGGGGCTGCCTTGAGGAGAGGGGGGAACAAAGCACAGCCACGCACAGCCGGAGAGGAGAGGAGAGGAGAGGAGAGAGAGGAGAGGAGAGAGAGGAGAGAGAGGAGAGGAGAGAGAGGAGAGGAGAGGAGAGGAGAGGAGGGAGAGGAGAGGAGAGGAGAGGAGAGGAGAGGAGAGGAGAGGAGGAGGAGAGGAGAGGAGAGGAGAGGAGAGGAGAGGGAGGAGAGAGAGGAGAGGAGAGGAGAGGAGAGGAGAGGCGAGGAGAGGAGAGGAGAGAGGAGAGGAGTTGCTGAAGTCGCACCAATCTCTCGAGCAGCTCGCGGCAGATACAAGTCCTGCCCCCTCAGTGATATTCCTGGCAGCTGCATGTTTCTGCAGTCGGTGCTTTTCTCCCAACAGAGGTGACAGGCCGCAGTGTTTCCAAACTGAAACAAATGGAGCTGAAAAACACCGAAGCATCTTCTGTCCTTGGGCAGCTCCGCTCCAAAGATTTTGAAACCAACTAAAGCAGGACAGGCGTCTGTTAGCAAAGCCGCTTTATTGACCCGTGCGTTAGGTAATTAACAACTGCCAACTAACAGCACAGGACAATTTTTTCGTTCCTTTCCAAGGCTATTCTTCTTAGGAAAAAAAGTGCATTTTGCATGATTGCAGTTAACTCTTCGAGTATCAGAACTCAGCAACTATTCGTGTAATCGCAGCAGGAGCCCAGGCGGTCGGAGGGCACCACCTGACAGCCCGCTTTGTAACTCCTCTCCTCCTCGTACTTGCTTCCGAGATTTCGGGTGAGCATGAAAGCGCACTGCGACTTGTCAATTCCTTCCTAAGGACTGAGCTGAGGAGGAAATCCCAGCTAACAGTACTTGACATTCAAGAGCTCCATGTATTTGCTCAGGACTTTCAGTACTTCATGAAAAAAAAATAAAAAAATTAAAAAAAATAAAGTTATAACATTAGCATTTATTTAAAAGGAAGCCAAAATGCAATTTCAGCAATGAAATCTGGCTACGCCAATTATATTTCAGCATTGTTCTGAAACAAGATCCAGGACATGAGAAAAAAAAAAAAGCGAAATTAATCCCACGTGCTTTGGGGAGACATGAAATGTATTTTTCAGTAGTGTGGTTTTGTTCTTAAACCACGGAGATAACGTAGCAAATGCGAAAAAATCTGAATGTGAGCCTGCTAAAACACGGTGCTGCACCTCGGAGGCAGTCAGCAGCACGGAGCAAAGGTCAGAGGGAATCAGACCTCCCGTTATCAGCAGAGCTACATTTGATTTGGAAAATTGTCAAGCCTGCCTTTAGCTCAGGCAGACGGAGCATCCGCCTCTTCCTATCCGGCAAGGAAAAAGCCAAAATTAATACAGAGCCGGACAACTAAAACACATATCTGAAAAGGGAGTAGCCGATGCCTTGCTATGAAGCTAAAATAGTCCGAGCCTATTTATCTGCTTTTAAAAATAGTTGGCAGTGCTCCCCGTGCGGATCCTGGGCCATCCAGCTGCACGGCTCGCCCCCTCGGCCCCCGGCTCTCCATAGCTGAAGAGATTAGAAGGTGCAGCCCAAGGGGGGCAGGGGAAGGAGAATGGCAGGAATCTTTATCCCTCCTCCCCAAACCCCAGCACTCGGTGTTTCATAAACCCAGACGCCCAGACGTCAGGAGCACAGAGCAGCATCAGTTTGGCTCAACTTGTTAACCGGCCGTGGGATGCTCGGTGGGCTTCTCTTTTGGGAGAGTGGGTGAAAGGAGTGAGCCCTGCTATAACCCTGGAAGTTAAAATGAAGTGAGTTTGGCACTTTTAGAAACACCAAAATGCTTCTGATTGTAAAACACCCATATAATCCAGTAACTTCCAGCCGTTCTCCAAGAGACAGGCTGTACCGGCAGCAGCTTTGGACTCACTCCTGCGAGTAATTCCTCTCATGCAAGTAACTACTCGTCAGCCCCATGAAACGATTCATGAAAGCAGAAATTCGCAGGACTGAGCCCTTGCCATGACTTTTGGGGAGCCGCAAGTTGGAGCTAGTCTTGCCTTTTACATAACTACGTGTGCATCCATGCTGAATACCGTGAGGCAGCAATAAGAGATATCACCAAAAGCCTAGAGTAGATGCTGCACACTGCCGAGCCCAAAGCGATAAGGAGCTCTGCAGACGTGAGTTACTCTGCTGAAAAGAGCGAGTTTCAGTGAACTGTGACGAGCGCAGTGAGCGCCCCGATTAGTTCTGCCCCCCAAGCAGCAGGTTTCCGGATGAGATATGAACTAAACACAAAATCTTTCACCCAGCGACGTTTGGCACATCTCTGAGACATTTAATCAGAAGCATAAACAATCCAGACACCGAAATACAAACCGATTTTGCCTTAAAATCAGCGTTCCGTTTCTTTTTATTTTAAAAATTCAGGAATGTGATACACAATACAATCAGCTCCCCACCGCTGCAGTGTTCACTCACATGAGATTCGCTAGTTTCATGCTTTGTGGAAAAAAAAAAAAAAAAAAAAAAAGACAGATTGCGCAGTGGTTTTGAATGCTCCTGGTATGCTGGAACCACGATCTTCGGGATAAAGCCGGTCTGTGTAACCACAGACAGGTCAGGTGAAAAAAAAATCAAGCTGCACTGCAAGGTAGGAGGCTGAGGCTGGGTCAAATACAGCCAGGACGAACCCCAGAATTGCGTTCCTGCTGCTGCACAGCCACCTGACCTGACTATATGCCTTCGGTGAATTGACCACTGAGGGCTGGAGAGACTGCAGGGCCCCGTTACCACCAGCTGGTGCTGGTCCTGCTCACAGCACGCCGCAGGACAAAGAGGCCGCACGGCTCCCCCTCCTGCCCCCTCATCACCATCATCACATTCGTATCCTGTCCCGATAATAAAAATAACGCGGGGGAGAGCTTCTTGTCTTTTCAGCTAGCCATTGCCTGCAATGGACACAGTAATAGAAAAATATGACTTCTGGCACAAAAAAAGATTAAATAGTTACAGTGGAATTAGTGAGCACAATTCCAGCTACGCAGATGCATTTACAGAGACCGTCAGCCAATGGTGGCAACCGCCACGACTTAAGGGTTGCTCTCTTTCTGTAAAAGCAACAGGAGAGAAGTAACTCAGGCTTGTCAGTGCTACAATGGGGATTTTTGGTGATTTTTCTTTTTTTTTTTTTTTTAAATAAACTAAAGAGCAGTAGTATTTATATGGCGCGTTAGTGATATACAGCAGGACCTCAAAAATTCATACTAATGACTGAGACCAACTTTAAACTAGCAAGCAAAATAATTAGTGAAAGTTTACCATAAAAAGCAAGGACACATTTCAAAAAAAAAATAAAATAGTACTTTGTTCGTTTCAAAATTTACTTGGATAATACTTTGTAGGATACTAGCAGTGGTAGCATATTTTGCAAACGTAGTCTCATACAAGATCTCAGTTAACAGTCAACTCTAGATCATATACAGGTAACAGGAGAAAGCGTTAAGGTAACCCAGACAAAACAAACCCAGGTATAAATAGCATATTAGCACATTTCAGTCAGTTCAGGAGACTGTACAACCAGCGTGACCATGGAAGCAGCCCCGCGACGCTGACACCAGTGGGGCACAGCGCTGGGCCGAGGGGACGCAGTCACGCATCCCATGGATGCACCTCCCCAGAAAGAGGTGGGGGGCACCCCAAAGGCACCAGCCCCGAGAGCCAACCAAGCCCCCGAGAGCCCCCTGGGGCCGAGCACCGCAGGGCTCAGCCCCGCTACTCCTCCGCCTTGGCGCCCGGTGCTTGGCCAAGGTGCAGGGAGCGAGGCCAGGCAGCCGCGCGGGTACCGCACAACACCGGTAACCCACCCGTGGATAATCGAGAGTTGACTGCAGTGCTCTGCTGAGAAGTTCGGTAAGACTACTGGCACAACCCGGGTGCGATGAGCAGCAGGCTCTTCTGAACTACGTGTGAGCAGTTATCATACAAGATGCGCAGTAGAAATGCAAACTAGCAAGGTGTTCTGTATCTGGAGGCAAAGCTACATTCCCTTCACTAGCAAAACATTCTTTTAAAAAAATCTACATTTA